GGGGGGGTGCACTTGTAGTTCTGCCGCGGCACCGCCTCGACCAAGCGCACCCGCGCGGGGGAGGAGGCGGAGAAGGCGGGGGGTGACAAGTGACGAGTCCGTGACGACATGGCGCCGGGAGCAACGGCCCCGGGCTGCGACCTTGGCACACACTGCACCACACGTGACACGTCACGTGACTCCATTAGCTGCTTGTGCCCTAATTGTGACGGTTGTTGGCCCGGGCCAGAGCCGCTAGCGCCGACCGACGTATGTTAACGAGTGGGATTGGCGCCGCCCCGCCTCCGCCGCCCCGCGCTGCCCGACCCGACTGCTGCTCCGCGGTCCTCCTCCGGGAAGCAGCGAACGTGAACGTATACCCTCTGTGATTCTGGAAGGGACAACGGGCGTAAACGCTCTGGTTTGCCCGTCGCCCTTTTGCCTACAGCCGCGGACGTATGGCGGCAGCTGGCAACCCCGAGCCCCTGAGGCGCCGCCGTGCGAGTAGGCAACCCGACTGCATGCCTGTAAGGCGGTACAGCATACACACAACAATCTCGTTTGCGTCGTTCCGGGCGCATGAGCCCCCGCACGAACGTACTGTTCTAACTTACCATGCATAGGCCAGCCAGTCCGAGTAGGACGGCCTCCCACCGTTGTGGCCCAGACCACTGTAACCCCTTTGTCCTCGTCCCGCAGCGCTGGTGTGCCGCTGCTCGGCGCTCCGCGACATGATGCTGGTCATGCCGCCGCTGGCGCGCGCGGGCAACAGCGTCACCCTGCGCTGCCTGTACGACCTGGAGGGCGCCAAGCTGTACGCCGTCAAGTGGTACCGGGGGAACTTCGAGTTCTACCGGGCCATGCCCAACGAGACCCCCGCCAAGCAGGCCTTCCCCTACCCGGACTTCCACGTCGACGTGAGTGCACTGTAAAAATCATCTGTGGAGATATTTAAATGTAAAGACGGCCCAACGGTCGCAGTTATACACTGGCAATCGAGCAAGAAGCATGCACGTAAAGGCCTCATCGCACAGATAACTGCCGAATAACGAAATAAAAAGAGTGGCCCCCGAAATGGCGCCATACTATCTGACCTCAGTGGTGGCCTCTCGTCTTGATTTGAACGAAGCCTTATCAACGTAAGCAGCCATACAGGAGGTTGGTCCATGGACCCCTTCCTTTATTTTGCTTATACTGTACTGAATGCAGTCGTGAGGGCGGGTTGCATACTCATACGGGGCAATAGGGCGCCGTGGCGAGTGCCGGTAGGCAAGCCCGTCCATACGCCAGCGTGCGGAACAGTATAAGCAAAATAAAGGAAGGGTCTATGGAACACCCTGTATAGAACATAACGATAACTAACTTGTCGTTTTTGCAGCTGTCGCAGTCCGATGAGCACCAGGTGACCCTCCGGCGCGTGTCGCTGCTCATGTCGGGCACGTTCGCCTGCGAGGTGTCCACGGAGGCGCCCGCCTTCATCACCCAGGTCAAGAAGGGTCAGCTCCTCGTGCTGGACACGGTCCGGCGGCCGGTGCTGACCGTGTCCAAGAACGTGTACCGCCCGGGCGACGAGCTGGAGGCCAACTGCACGTCGCCGTCGCCGTCCAGCGCGGAGCCCGTGGGGCCCCCGGGGGAGTGGCCGCCCAGGGGCAAGGTGCACTTCGGGGCCCCCGCCGGTGCTCCCGGGCTGCCGCTGCTGCCGGAGGTGCCGCCGCTGCAGCCGCACCAGCTGACCGCCGAGCAGCGTCGGCACCTGGAGAAGGAGGCCGCCAACGAGCCTGTCTCCTTCGGCTTCTGGGTCAACAACCGGCCGGTAGGGCTCCGCGCGCTCGCGCACTGGAGGCGAGGCCTTCGTCCAGGGCCCCGCCTGACGCCTTCCACCCTCTCGTGTGCAGGTCCCTGCGGCGCTGGTGGTCCTGGGCGTCTCCAGCGCCACGCTACGCCGCCCGCTGCTCGAGGAGGACTTCTCCGCCAACGGCGAGCTCCGCCTCAAGTGTGTGGCCACACTGGCTGACAAGTACCGAGAGCCGAGCCACGTCGTTACCGTCCGTCGTCAGGAGGAGGACGAGGAGGAGGAGGGCGATGAAGAGGAGGGCGAGGGCGAGGACACGGAGGGCACCGTCGAAGAGCCTCCGCCCGTTGTCACCGAAACGCATCCTGCTGTCCACACCGCCGTGGACGCCCACGACCGCACCGGCACCTCCCTGGATCTCACTGCCAGTTCCCGTAAGTCCGGACGTCCTGCCCACAAAGTACCTACTTTGATCCGGATGTGCGAGTGACCGTGTTGTCCCTCTGGTTGCAGGTGCCACTGCGGGGGCGGGCCCGGCCGCGCACTGCAGCCTGACGTGGGCGGTCTTGCTGGCCGCCCTAGTCGCGCTGCGGAGGGACTTCCTCTACGAGAGCTAAAGACTTTGTTCCTGATGTGAGAGTATAACGCGCCTGTTTTGTACATAATAAATTGAACTGTTTTTATAAAAGTGTGTCGGTTAAGATTATTCAACAAGTCATATGGTGATGGCATGGCACCTTCGCCCGAACAGGTAATAGAGGCCTTCCTTCAGATGCACATTGTCTTATTTGCATCTCAGCCCGGCAGTAGGATCTAGTTACCAGACAGCGTTATCGAGAAATTAAGGCAGGTTCCCAGTTGGCGGGTCTCTGCCTATCGCGGCAGCTACAGCTACAACCCCAGCCTTGATCGTGCCGGAGACGCTCCGGCTCCGGGGGCGAGTCCAGGCGGCTGCACCTGTCGCGGACTTCCTTTTTGTTTGGCACGCCGGGGGCAGGGCAAGGGGCAGGGGTGTGCCAGGAGGGCAGGGCGAGCCGGGGCCGGGGGGCAGAGCGGTCGAGCGGGCGTGAGGCAGGCCAGGGGGCAGGCCAGCCAGGCAGGCCAGGGTCAGCAGTCCTTGGTAAGTACGGGTGTAAGAGCGCGGGGCAGCCGTGGGGCGTCCGCGCCTGCTCCGTGGGCCCGCTCCTCGCGCTCCGGTCGGGCGGAGAGACGGGGAGGAGGGGGCGGGGGACGGGAATGCTGAGGTATGTGGAGTAGAGGGGGAGGCCGGTGACCCGCTACCTACCTCTCTCTACCTGCTTCGCCCGGTCGTGTGGAGCGTTCTGGCTGGGGCTGGACTGGAGTCAGAGCAGAGTCAAGCTGCTGGAGTCAACGCAGCGCATCACTTCTGCGTCTTATTCCGGCGTCGCTCTTCAAAGTGTTCTTCAAGATCGGAACGTGAGGGTGCAGATCGGGAGGCCAGGGGTGCCCCTCTCCGAATCAGTCTTAACTCAACCAGAGCTGCTGACGTTTGGACCACCGGATTGCAAGCAGCTCATAATACCTGCCATGCAAAGCTTTAAGTTTTGATGGAATGATTGTGTAGTTTGACAGTTTTCCTTCACATGATGGGATCTAGAGTTGCTCCCCACTGCCCAGGGGATAAGGGCATTCCTCGCCTTCTTGAAGATCTGCAACGGCTAGCTGAAGACCACGAATCTGCTGACGTTGTTTTTTTAGTCGGGAGGGATGAAGTGCCAGTTTATGCTCATCGAGTCATACTGATGGCTCGATGCAAAAGTTTTCAGACAGCAAAAAGAGGCGAGCTCTGTCGTATACCTGGGTGTTCTGTTGCTCCAGCGGCTCCAGGAGCACCCACTCCTGTGCGGCTTCCTCAATTTCAAGGGGATACATTCAAGTTATTTATTCTGTATGTATATACAGGTACAATCATGCTTCAAGATAGTGCGGTTTTTGAAATGTTGACACTTGCTCAGGATTTGGGTGTGGAAGAATTAAAGAACTGCTGCGAAGACCATGTATCATCTACTCTTTCTGTGTTAAATGCTTGTACTTTCCTAGCAGCGGCTCTTGATATACATGATCGAGCAGCTGGTGGTAAAGGAGCCAAATCTTTTGTTGACCGGTGTACATCATATATAGGGGAAAATGCACTAGAATGTGTTAAGACAAATTCTTTTCTGAATCTACCAAAAGAAGCTTTGCTCAAATTAATTTCATCTGATCACCTGGCTTTAGAAGAGGAAGATGTATGGAGAGCAGTGCTGAACTGGGCAAAACATCAAGCTGGTGTCACGCAACCAACAGCTCACTGGACAGAAGAGGAAAGAGTCAGAGTTTGTCAGCACCTTGCCGGAGTAATCAATCATGTTAGGCTTCTGTTGATTGACAGTCAGGTATTTGCTGAAGAAGTTGAACCAACCGGTGCTGTGCCTATGGAATTATCACTTGAAAGGTATCGATATGCAGCATTACCAAACAAGTTCAAAGAGAGATCAGAGGACAAGCGATTACAGCCTCGGGTTTCTTTGAGATTATTTCCCGGTTCACAAATCTTGGTCAAAGAGAAGACTTCATTACAAAGAACCCTAAATTCATGGTATGGAAATGCAAAGCAACAATGGAGATTAGTATACAGAGCATCAAGTCATGGCTACTCAGCTGAAGCTTTTCATAGACATTGTGATGGGGTTTCACCAACATTTGTAATTGTTCTGGGTACTATGGGAGAAATTTGTGGAGGTTTCAGTGATGTAGCATGGGGTAAGCCAAACACAAAAGGCCACTATATTCCTTCTGAAAAGGCCTTCCTATTTACATTAACAAATTCAGCAGGTCTTCCTCCTACGAAATATGATATCCAAAAGAAACCCTATGCCATATGCTACCATCCAGAATGTGGCCCAATTTTCGGAGGTGGAGCTGACTTGTTAATATCCAACAATTGTAATACTAACCTTGACAGTTATTCTAATTTGCCTCATTCCTATGATGGTGATGGAGCTTCAAGTAGTGTGCTTATGGGTGACTACAATTTTTCTGTCTTGGATTACGAAGTGTTCACTCCATCAAACAAATAATTTCTGATGTCTTATTATAAAACTCCTATAATTGGAAATGTAC